ATAAACTGCATCACTGTTTCAACTCAAACAGTAATAGTATCGATAGTTTTAGTATACGGAGGATATCGTGTCCGTTCAATATTATATTTAAATGAAACTATGTTACGCAGATATGCACTAACATAATATAAAAAAGAAACTAAAAGGAGTTAAGAATTATTAAGTTTATAAAAAAAATAAGGAAGGAACGACAGTTCGCTTGCTGTGTAGTAGCAGCGTAAATGAATCCATTACTCTTGTACGTGCTGGAAGTGTAGTAAGAGGCGACTATGGGAAACGCCAGAAAAATGTATTGTGATTGTCAATTTTTCTGCAAGCCTTGAACATTATAATAAATCACTCCTGAAGTAGGAGAGGTCGATGTCTCGCAGTAGACTTTTACGGGCTGATGATGGAGGATAGAAGAAGAATAAATAATTTTTGCGTCATAAAGTAATGCGATAAAACTCTGAGCCCCTCCAAACTTTAGAGTAACCTGACCGTCTCTGACACCCTCTACACTTCGAATCCACTTTTGCAAGTCGCTTTGTTAATTGTCATTTGAAAGTTGTAGATGTTCTGTTTAAGCTAATTTTTGGGAACACCTCCTCATCTACACCATAACCGATGTTAATATCTGTGTCTAGTACATTATTTTAAGGAAAAACTAATTAATGCAGTTCACTTTTGTAAAGATATGCAGCCAAGCGAAGAAGCAGCGAAACAAACTTAATTGCAGCTATGAGGCTATTGAATCTCTACCACGTATATTTTACACGCTTAAAAGGTTTTCCAAACCATTCCTGAGCACCGTGTTCTATGTAATTTAGTTCTGCTTTTATGGATTTCAATTTTATATCGATATCAGAAACCCGATATTGGCAGCAGCTATTTCGTTGCACACGGCAAACTACGTCGCAAATCAATGTGCGATCGAATACAGACGCTAATAATCGTTTCAATAGTGCTCTTGTTAATGTTGTTAATACCACATGGAGAGATTTTATATACGTTGTTTTAAATGGTATATTTAGACAATAACATAATATTAATATATAGTAAACATTTATTTCCCTGAATGCTTGGATTGGATGGATGGATGGATGATTTAACAGCGGTAGAGCCACGCGGCAGCTTTGCTGTTGCACGTATGGGCTGGCTCAAATCGGGGTGGTACCACGACCTCACAGAATACCGGCGTGAAGTGCAAGCTCTGCTTCCGCGTTTCCGGTGAGCGCAGGTGGCCGGAGGCCCAAATCCACCCCCCTCCATCAAAATGGTACCGGAATTAAATATCAAACTACCCCAGGAGGGTACCAGCATCCCTGGATAATCCCTCGCTGACCATCCACGACCAAGTTACACCACTCCTGAGCGTGGGTACTCAGGCTGCCCCGCGTATTCAGGGGGGGTGGTGGAAACAATTTGGGGAAAACTTGTGTCTGAGGTCGAGTCTTAGCTGAACAGAGTCTCGGATTGGTGGCTACTAAATCTAGTCCAGTTTAACCCTCAGAAGACACAAGATTGCGCGTTAACCGCTAAAAAGAACCCCTTTCTCGTATCTTTTTTTTTATAAAACGTTACTAGGATTTTCTGCTGTATCGTGGGGGCAGTTTACAAACATAAATTTCACACGGACAAACATCCAGACCCGGAACAATTACTTGTAGGCCATACAAATACTTGTTCCGTGCGGGATACGAACCCGCGGCCCTCAGCGCTGTAACTCAATGCTAAGCCACTGCGCCACGGAGCCGTCAAGGCATTTCTTCGCCTCGCTCTATGAGAGATACGAAACATTAGCTGGAGAGGACACCTGCGCCTCGATCATAAAGAGCAGAGCCGGCCTTTCCGTCTCGAGATGGTAGTGGATGGCGTTTAGGTTAGAGTGAAGTCCCCTGGATTTGCATAAATTCACGGATAGCGTAGCACTATAAAAAAAACAATCATGCCTGTCACTCAGAGGGGTAAGTAGAAACTATGGACTTCCATTTTGCATGATCCTGACTCATCTTTCTCGCCTCCTTTACATCCATATACCTACGCATACATGCTTATCCGCTAAGGGTACTCTTAGTCTGGCCCATTTTCAATATATCGCCAATTTGATCGATAAACTTCCAACTAGGGTTTTCTTTCCCGACTCTTCTGTTCACTTCTGCAACATAAACTTGCTTTGGCACTCTGTCCACGTAAATTCTTTTTATTTGAAAAAACCACCAAAGCATTTCTTTATTAATCCTGGTTACAACATCGTCTTGCAAATCATACTTTTCTCTTATTGCACAATTTTTTACGGCACGAATTTGTACGGCATTTATTCTACACTCTTGTTTCTTCTGCCATACCCAACGTTCACTACCATACATTAATTTAGGGATTAATACAGCATAGTCTTACTTGCGTACACTTTCATAAATCTATCTTTTATTGACCTGCTTATTAATGCTACCATTATTTGCGATTCGGCGGCCGACGTCGCAAATATGACTTAATCATCGGCGTACAAAAGGCATTTGACGGTCAACTCACCTATTCTTAAACCACATTCTTCCCCTTTCCAAATTTCCAAACAACTGTCCATAAATAGTTTAAAAAGCCAAGGGCAAGCCCTGTCCGACACCTTCATGGATGGCAAACCAGTCTAAGTAGGCACTTTTAATCCAGACACAAGCACTAGAGCCCATGTAAAGAGACACTAATGCCTGTATCAACTCAGCGCCCAACCCAAATGACATCAGTGTTTACCACAATACGTTCCTATCTACTCGGTCATAACACTTTTACAAGTCCATAAATGCACAAAATACTTTCTGATTTTGGCCAATAACTTCTCCGCGATCAATCGCATAAAAAAAGGCTTGATCGGTATATCCCATTCCCTTTCGAAATCCATCTTGCACATCCCAAATTTTTCTATAAGTTTTTTTTTTCAAAACTCTTCCAAGTAACACCTTAGCATACAGTTTTTCCACAATGTTAATCACGCTGATATCACGGTATATCTTACATTCCTGCTATTCCCTTATAAATTGGGACTACAACGGCTTAATGCCAGTATCCCAGTACCCAATTCGGTTACCAATACAAATTGAACGAAGTGGAAAACAAGCCTGAATTTTCAGCCATTAGCATTTCGAGAGATATTCTGTCATATCCGCCTGCCTTAAATATTTTCATGCTTTTCATTGCTTCCATTATTTCATCTATACTTGTCACTCTACCTCTTTCCTCTTAGCCTCCTCTTTCATTATCACGCTTTTAAATTATTCATTCCATCTCTTTAGACTCGAAACTTCGTCATTCAGAATACAGAAATTTTCATCTCTAATAGCATTTATTCGAGGCTGTTTTGAATCCACTCGCAGTTCTTACAAATTTTTAGAACATTTTAATAAATTCCTTGAAGTAATCAAATATCTTTATATCATTCCTATCCGTTTTTTCTTGACATTTTCTTTTAACAACTAAGAACGGCCTTTTTTCGCTCAATATTCTAATTTATACTGCCAGAGTTACCAGCTTTGGTTGCTAGTAAATCTAACCATGCTCTTTTCTTTAATTCAACTTCCATCAGTACATCATCATCCCTACATAATGTATTATTTTTCCTTTCATTCGTTCTCTTACTTACACCACATATTTCGGTAGCTACATCCACCATACTTTCTTAACATTATGCCACACAGTGTCCAAATCTAAATCATTCATAAACAATTCATCCAAACCACTTATCTCCCAGTCCACATTTTTGCTTCTCTTTCACACCTTCATCTTGTAATTTCTCCATTTTTATAAGCTGTAACGCATTGATAGACACAGATTTCCGATGCCGCCAACATCTTGGTAGACCATTAATTCTGCATAAGACCAAGTAAGGATCCATCCCTACGTTGGACCCCCGGGAAATCCTTATATGTACCACTTAACTTCTTATTCTCTTATCCTCAATTATTAAATCTGTCATGCTTATATCATCATCTCTTTTCTTTGTACACATGTGGATTTTCCTTTGGCGAAAAAAAGTGTTCCTCGCAATAAAACTCTTTTCCACACATACGGTAAGGAGGCTTTTATCATTTTCATTTATACTTTCATCATCAAATGTTCCCATTATCCTTTCATAACTACACCTCGTCACTCCATCTCTTCCATTGAATTCTTCTAACATCACAATATTTTCACTTCTCTTACATTTCATAAGTGCTAAACTTCCATCTTCCAAAACTTCTCTCTCTCTCTCTCTCTCTCTCTCTTTGGATATAAGTGAGCTTAGACTTATCTGGGATTTAAACCCTTAATAGCCGGTCTCAATTTCATACAATCAGTTATAAGTAGATAGCTAAAGGAGGTTAACAGTTAAGCTTTAGCTATCTGTTACTGTCGTCTCAATACCATAATGCTCGAAAGCTTACCCGAAATAAAATAGATAGCTCATGATAGCTTTGGTTAATGCATCTCTCCTAAGCGTTTTGTTTTTCCTTCAATGTGAATTGCGTCACGTTCTACAATAAAATATTATAATGTTGTCGAAATATTATGTTTATTATATAGTGTTTTTAATTTTAGTAATTATTAGTTTTAATATAATATTGTCAATTATTCTTTATACACATTTCTGAATTAAATCTTGCATCAAATAATGACTAACTTTTATCTTAAAAAACGAAGCAATTAAACGCATCGCTTGGCGTTCGGCATTGACACATGCACTTGCCTGAGTTGATATAAACAGTTTGTGTTTTTAAACATCACATCAAATATCATGAAGCTCAGCAGAAATAATTAAATTTTGTTTATGTCTAGCAAGCAGTATTTTATCAGCGATAAGTATTAAGCATTAACATGTGTATCAGTATTTTATCAGCGATAAGCATTAACATGGCTCAACAAAATACTGTAAGTATTGTGAACTATTTGCCGTGTTGTTTATATTTTTACGGAAATGTAAGAAACAAAAGCTTGGATATTTGTCTCACATTCGCGACAAAATATAAGGCAGCTATAAAATTTTGTTTTAGATGAAGGCAAGCGCCCTTGGAAAGAATGAAATACTCTTCCTGCTTGACTTTATTTTCAAACAAAACGTTATTACTACTAAAGCAACGAATACTACAAATAATAAATTAAAGGAAGAGGTATGGAAATCCCTAGCGCAGGAGTTCAGTGCGATGGCGGGAGAATTGCCTGAGCAACTACGCTTAAAGTGGGAAAACTTAAAGAAGTCTGTAAGGAAACGCAACACATCTATAAGACAATATAATTTAAAGGTTTATTATAAGTACAGACATACATCGAATATTTCCTAACATTTTGTTAGATATACCTAATCATTAACATTTTTGTTTGCAGACCGGTGATGGTAAAATGTACATCCTTCCTGATGAAGCACTGTACCTTGTAACATTTATGTTAAAAGCAACATGCATGGGGTTCACTGTGGAGTTTTATGGTGACGGAAAAAAAAGAAATGTTGCCACCAGATGCGGTTGTGGAACTCATTGATTTACAATCTTTGCCGGAGCATTAAGAGAATGTTAATAGTGATTTGGTGATGGGAGATGGAGGTAGTGCTGAGTGTGGTGGTGGTAGTCCTTATAAATCATGTAAGTTATATTTTATCTCGGTTGTTAGTTGTTACTAAACAAAACAGATCGTCTCTATGGTCTAGTGGTGTGAATGCTTGTTGTAGGTTCTGAATAACTCTGTGTTTTTTTTCTCGTTTATCAGGAAATCTTAGGGATAATCACCCAATTGTTTGATAAAAAAGACAATGTGTAGACAATGTGTCAAATAGGCATGTAGTTCAGTTGGTTCTGGGTTATTTCTAAGGTAATTTGGATAGTAGTTGTTACCATCTCTATGGTCATCAGTCATCAAATCTATCAAACTGGGAGAGTGAAAAATATGAGAATTTATCTATGTTTTTTTTTATTTTCACAGTAAAGAAACGCCAAAAGCCCTCTGAAGAACTACAATGGGCTCAGATAAGCAAGGAATTAGCCATGGCTGCTTATTTTGAAGTGAAAACTGAAGTGGTTTGAAAAATAAAACTACAGTTAGAAATAGAAAAATGAAATAAGAGACCTGTCAATAATATAGTGCTAATAACAAGATAGTGTAAATAGTAACAATAAGGTGTGTTCTTTTACAACATGTGTAATATTTTTATGAAGTTTACTCTAAAATAAAATCTACTTTATATATTGATTTTTATTGACCTTTTTGTAATAAAATAATTATGAAAATAAAACACATTTACTCTAGTATAATTTAACATTATTTACAAGCTGAAATTCTACTATAACTAAACATTATTTACACGTTGTAATTATAATATTATTAAACATTTACACACTAAATTAATTATTAATTTGTTCTTGTCTGACGACTGTGATTTTGATGACTTATCCCTTCAGCATAGGAAATGTCACCTGATTCATGTGGCATTGCAACTTCTGAATCCACATCCCTTATATTCTTTAATCTGCAAATACAGAGGTGGCAATAATAATGGCCTGTGTTATCTGCATAGCTACACGGATTTTCAGAGAGAATATAGGAAAACGCCTTATCCACAACATCTGAAAAGCTACAAAGTATTTTACATTACATTGATGAAAAATTTAAAATAAAATATTATATTAATATTTACCTTTCAGTAGTATTTTTAGTCTTTATATGTGCTTCATTATAACGATTACCTGCGACAGATGAAGAGTTGAGCAGTGGAGTCAAAATATATGATGTATAAGGGCATGCACTGTCCCCAATAAGCCATCTATTGCCAAACGATTCCTCTTAACATTGCACTGAAAATAAATGACAAATAGTAATTATGTTTATGTGATGACCTATTAATAATCTTCTAGATACCTAAGTACCTACTTACTTTTTAGCATAGAGTTGTTAAATATAGTAGCATCATGAGCAGACCCAGGCCAACGGGCAACAACATTCATAAATAACAAGTCTACGTTACAGACGCCTTGTACATTAATTGAAAATATGCCTTTTCTATTTCTGAATTCTTCTCCTGTATTTCAATCTGTAAAGATCATGATTCTGTTATTAGGTATAATCTATATAAATGAATGAATCTACACTTACTAATATTATAATAAAGAATTGTGTGTATGTTTGTAGGTTTGTGATCTAATTCTAGCCATACTTGGATTAAGTTCTAGGTTTGAGTTTCAGGTCACTAGATGACCTTCGACAAAGTTTCTGCTTGTGCATAGATCTACTTATTATAAATATTTATTAATTTGGTACTACTAATCAGGTGACTGTATGGGAACATGCGTGCAGTCAAAAGCGCCAAGAATTCTAGGAAATCGTGCGATTTCATAAAAGGCATTCTGGGTATTGCTTAATGTCTTCATATATTGAGGTTATAAGCCCGCTATAGCCCGAAATACATGATACACAATTCGGCGGGCTGAAGCTATCAATACACCATAGAGAGTGCTACTGATAAAAGCATTGTTCCCAGTGCGTAAAATCTCAAAGTCAATAACAACTGATGTAACGGCGATATTCTTTTATTCCCAATGTTATAATAATTGTCATTCATGTTTATTGTCAAAATTAATGTTTTTTAGTATATTTCGACTGCTATATTTCCTTTTTTAGTATATGTAACTAAATTTTGTCCACAAATTTCTTTACTTGCCTCGGAGAAATTACTTTTAAGGCTGGTTTTATTATCAACAATAACTTGTTCACGGACGTTTTATTTAGTCTAAATCTATACGTAAATTCAGAGTCAGAAAATTCACTTCTGTAATTTATTCAAGTATAAACTCGGCGATTTTCAGTATCCACAATACTTCTGTTTTGTTAACTATACAGAAAGGAATATTATTTTGTCATCTACTATTAAATTAGATATTAAAATGAAAGAAATATCTTTCACTCCTACATGAAACCAGTAAAAATAAAAATTTAGACAACTTTTACAAAATCAAATATCGTTGATGTAAATCCATTAATTACTACTTCTGTGTTTGATCATTTGGAGCTGATTAATGGTGTATCTTCGTAATAATTATCTTCGTGTAATTTCGAAATAATTTCTTTTTTAACAAACAGGTAGAGATAACAAAATGCCGACAGATAGATATATAGAAAAATAGTTTATTGATACTGAGGGCATAGTTTTATCTCATGTTTCTTATTATTTAAAATGTACTTCTGATTCCTAACAATACCATAAACGGACGTGTTTTTTTTTTTTGTTTTATAATATTTGAAATGTAAATCAATACATACCTAAAAACGGTCCCCGTACGCTATTTAGATTGTAACAAATATAAAAAATATCCTGATAAGAATATACTACCATATATTGAATAGTTCACTATTTTAACATAATACCGGTCAAAACTACGAGGCAATCATTTTGGTTTATTTTTAGGTTATTGTAAGATTCATTTTTTAATTGTTAATTTCTCAGTTATCCAATATTACTATTGTAATCTATAGGATATAAGTAATAAATAGACATACATTTCACTAAGTGTCGCTAAAATTTGTAGTGGGCCCATTCTTCATACAAAAAGAAATTTAATCCTTTGATGAAAAAAAACGACTATATAACCAAACTTACTACAAAATTATAACTAACGTAATACAATATAACTCCTCCCTTGGCTCGAACACATCCGGAGATCCTCCTAGACATGCGGAGGATCATGTTATCCAGCAATTCTTGCAGTAACCTGTCCCATTCTTGAAAAGCAGATTCCTTGATCTCTGGCACTGTCTGTGATGGTGACTAACGATTCCAAACAGCTCGCTTAAGGGCATACCATGCGTGCTCTACTGGGCTTCAGTCCGGCAAGCTGCTAGGCCAATCTTAACTTGTGATATCGTATTCTTAGAGAACAGCATTGAGTGTATTGTCGACCAGTACGAATTGGTGCCCATGATTTACTCAGAATTGTCTGAAATTTCATAAATAGCAACTGTTTTGTCGTTATGGTGCATATGCATTGGATACGGGATTAAAGGCGTTCTAGCTCCAATCGATTTCCTACCTTGCTGAACGGTTACAGCGGCAGTTATTTGTCTTTTAGAGCCTCTAGGTCTTCTCCAGACATAGGCATCGTTTACCTGGATAAGTACTGATTCGCGATTCGTCAATGAAGAGACAGTTTTAAATCATGAGTTGCATAAGGGGTAGTAGTGTTGGGTATTGCGATGTTGGGTGTTTCATTAAAGGGTGATGGGTGTTGTGGTATTGGATGTTGTGTTGTAGGGTGTTGTGGTGTTGGTTGTTATGGTGTTGTATGTTGTGAATGTTAGTGTAGTGGTTTTGGGTGTACTTGTATTGAATTTAGTGAGACCATCACTACTGCGGGATAGAGGAATCTAGGGTGATAAATACTAATGTGGGATAGAGGAAGCTTTACAAACTTAGTAAAATTTACCATCTCGCTTGTGCACGTAGATCTTAGCTAATTCATTTTCACATCTTTAATAGTTCTTTTTCACAAGATCCTCATACCATCTTTGCGGGAATAGGATACCAAGCGTATATTGCTTCAAGGATTTATTGTCTCTGTAGCTGAACTTAACACTCAACACTAGTAATGCTGCACCTAATAGAAGAGGTATATAATTTATAGAAGAGGGGGCAAACGACCTTGCGGCCCGAAGGAAATTAAATGTTATACAATAATTTTATATTTATTGCCATTTTAAATAATTTAATTTCATACTACTTGTAATTTTATATTTTTATTGTAATTGTATGTAATTGTATAAACAATAATAAATTTTATGCAACAGTAGTTGTAGGTAGACGCGACCTGTAAAACGAATCAAGTGACACGTAAATCAATGTATGGAAAGTGGGCATACTTCTTTGATTGTTAAGCTTTTCAATTGTATTTTTGCATGAATTATTTAACATACTTTAGTATAGTTCAGAATAAATAAATAAATAAAATTGCAGGTGCGTTACAACGGCTTACAAGCCTTTTAAAAAGGAGTAAGCTCGTTTCTCATTTAATGAAACTATGAATTTAAAAGTTAACAACCAAGTTATGCAGGCAGCGTTAAAAATTCACTTGGGAAGTTGAGCTACCAAATTTCAAAAAAAAATGCTCCATTTATCAGGGAGTAAGGAAAGCCATGCCCCCTGTGCCTCTTGTGAAGTATTCCAAGACTTCATACGCCAGAGTTATGTAGTCATAAGTTTAATAATAGTCATAAATTTAATAATGATGTTAAGTATCTATATCAATTTTTAACAAAGCGGTATTATTGTTTTAGAATTTTGAAACAATGATTTCAAAAAGAAGGATAGGCCCATCTAAATATTTTATTCATAACTTCTTCATACAAGAAAAAGTAGCGCAACTGTCATAATCTCATAATACAAACGTCATATCAAATTACAACGTAACCAGGGTCGGATTTCGTAGTGTAATTATCCTAATTGTACCATTATTTCGTAGTTTTTAGTACATAGTATCGTAATAATACTAAGCGAAAAT